AAAAACAAAATGAAAAAAAAATCCAAAAATATGAAGATAGTGTAAAGAGCCTCTGGGACAACTTCAAGCGTACCAATATCCGAATTATAGGGGTGCCAGAAGAAGAGAGAGAGCAAGATATTGAAAACCTATTTGAAGAAATAATGACAGAAAACTTCCCCTACCTGGTGAAAGAAATAGACTTCCAAGTCCAGGAAGTGCAGAGAACCCCCAACAAAAGGAATCCAAAGAGGACCACACCAAGACACATCATAATTAAAATGCCAAGAGCAAAAGACAAAGAGAGAATCTTAAAAGCAGCAAGAGAAAGAAACTCAGTTACCTACAAGGGAGTACTCATATGACTGTCAGCTGATTTCTCAACAGAAACTTTGCAGGCCAGAAGGGAGTGGCAAGAAATACTCAAAGTGATGAATAGCAAGAACCTGCAACCAAGATTACTTTATCCAGCAAAGCTATCATTCAGAATTGAAGGTCAGATAAAGAGCTTCACAGATAAGAAAAAGCTAAAGGAGTTCACCACCAAACCAGTATTATATGAAATGCTGAAAGGTATCCTTTAAGGAGAGGAAGAAGAAGAAAAAGGTAAAGATAGAAATTAAACAACAAATACACTTCTATCAACAAGTGAATAAAAAAATCAAGTGAATAAATAATCAGATGAACAGAATAAACTGGTGAATATAATAGAATCAGGGGCATAGAAAGGGAGTGACTGACTATTCTCGGGGGGCGGGGGAAGGGGTGTGGGGGTGCGGGAAGAGACTGGACAAAAATCGTACACCTATGGATGAGGACAGTGGGGGGGCGGGACGGGCAGAGGGTGGGGTGGGAACTGGGTGGAGGAGAGCTGGGTGGGGGAAAGAGGAACAACTGTAATAATCTGAACAATAAAGATTTAATTAAAAAAAAGAGTTGAAAGCTTTATCTCAGGACAGTTATAATGTACACATTATGCCCGCATAAGGCAGAGGGAGAAATGTAAGTGATTTGTTGTTGTTGTTGTTAATCCTCATCCAAGGATATTTTTCCATTGATTTTTAGAGAAAGTGGGAGGAGGAGAGACACAGAGAAACACATTGATTGGTTGCCTCCCATATGTGCCCCAACGAACAGAGGTACGTGACCTTGTCCAGAATTGAACCCAGAACCCATCAGTGCATGGGCTGACACACTATCCACTGAGCAAAAGCAGCTAGGGCAGAAGTGATTGTAAGGAAGTGAGCTTGAGGATCAGAAAGATGGTATTGGAGATGGCATGGATAGTACTGACAAACTGGATAACAGTTCAGATGTAAGATGATTTAGAGTTAGCTATGTTTCCTGGTGGGAATGGATTAAAGACTTCAATATAACTCCCAAAACCATAAAACTCCTAAAAGAAAAAATAGGTAGTAAACTCTATGACACTGCTCTTAGTAGTATTATTTTTGGATATGTTTCCTTGGGCAAGGGTAACAAAAGAAAAATTAAACTAATGGGACTACTTCAAACTAAAAAGGTTTTGCCCAGCAAAGGAAACCATCAACAAAATTAAAAGACAACTTATTGAATGGAAGAAGTTATTCACCAATGATACATCTGATAAGGAGATAATATCCAAAATTTATAAAGAACTCATACCACTTAACACCAAAAAGACAAATAATCCTATTAAAAAAATGGGCAGAGGACCTGAATAGATGCTTCTTCAAAGAGGACATACAGATGGCCAGTAGTCATATAAAAAGATGCTCACCATCAATAATCATCAGAAAATGCAAATTAAAACTACAGTGAGATATCACTTTACACCTGTTAGAATGGCTACCATCAATAAATCAACAAATAAGAAGTGCTGACAAGGATGTAGAGAAAAGGGAACCCTCATTCACTGTTGTTGGGAATGCAGGCTGGTGCAGCCACTATGGAAAACTATATGCAGGTTCCTCAAAAATTAAAAATAGAACTACCGAACGACCCAGTAATCCCACTTCTGGGTATTTAGCTAAAGAAACCCAAAACACTAATTCAAAAGAATATTTGCACCCCTATCATTATTGCAGTGTTATTTACAATAGTCAAGATTTGGAAGCAGGCCAAATGTCTCATCCGTAGATGAGTGGATAACAAAGCTGTGGTACATTTACACAGTGGAACACTATACAGCCATAAAAGGGAACTCTTACTTTTTGCGGCATAATAGATGGGCCTAGAGAGTATTATGCTAAGTGAAATAGGCCAGTCAGAGGAAGACATGTGATCTCACTCATATGTGGAATCTAATGAACAAAACAGAAACAGAGGCATGGATACATGGAACAGACTGACAGCTATCAGAGGGGTGTGGAGAGGGAGGGACTAGGTGAAAGAAGATGAAGGGATTCATCAAAGAACATATATGCATAACCCATAGAAATAGACAACAGTGTGGTAATGGACAGAGGGAAGGTTGGGGAGGGGTAAGGGGTGGGTGGAGGGGGGCAAAGCAGGGTGGGGAGGAATGGGGATTGCAACCCTCTTGACATGTCATTAGGAGACCCACTCATGTCGGGAGGAAGCCAAGTATTCACACAGGGGTGGACAAACATAGGTTTACAGTTGCAATGTGACATTCTTTTTTGAGTTCATACAGCTTTTGTAATAATCCTAACCTGCATGTCTTTTTCCATATGAACAACTGTAAACCTACTTTTGAGATCTGAATATTTTAAAATGAGGTGACAGAAAGTTGGAGTCACTGTTTCTGTTGAAACTAAAAAAAATTAAAAAGGAGTGTTAGTGGTATTGAGAGTTAAAGTGGCATTGAGTATGTCTATAGGTAGCAAAAAACACTTCTATACATATAAACTGGAAATGGCATTGGTCATCCACTAGAGCAGGGGTGGGGAACATCCGGCCTGCGGGCTGTATATAAGGCCTGCGAAATCATTTGGTCTGGCCCAGCTGAGGCATTAAGGGTGAGTTAATTATAGCAGGCTAATGTTTAAGTTGCTAATTTTGTATGGCCGAGAATTATGCTGTAACTATCCAAATGGCCCTTGGCAGAAAAAAAGTTCCCCACTCCTGCACTAGAACATCAGATCACATATACTTGATAGTTGGACAACTATCTCCAAATATGTCCAATTTACTTTAAAACAATAAAGAATGAATATTTGGCCCCAATCGGTTTGGCTCTGTGGATAGAGCGTCAGCCTGTGGACGCAAGGGTCCCAGGTTCAATTCCGGTCAAGGGCATGTACCTTGGTTGTAGCACATCCCCAGTGGGGAGTGTGCAGGAGGCAGCTGATGGATATTTCTCTCTCATTGATGTTTCTAACTCTCTATCCCTCTCCCTTCCTCTCTGTAAAAAATCAATAAAATATATTTTAAAAAAAAGAATGAGTATCTGGTTGAACACTAACAAAATTGATTTAAATAAACCCCTCCATTTCAGCAAATCTGAAGTTGTGGACAAAAGACTAGTTAATGCACTGGAAATAACGTCTACTAAATAAGCTATACTCTCTGAACATACCAAAAGGTAGTGTAAACAGGTAATAATATATGAGATTTATCTTCAGTATGAAAGGACAGAATGGAACTGATAGCTGTGTCCCTAACGAAAGGACACAACAGAACTGATAGTAAAAGAACAGAACGGAACTGATAGCTGTGTCTCTAACTCCTCTCCCAGGAAAGCCACAGAATGTATCAGTTACTCAGCCTGCCCTTATCTCAGCCAATGGGAAAGCAAGGAAAACTAGCCCCCGGCCCTCACTCAACCAACTGGAATCGACCAAGTGCCTCCACCCCCCAAACCCAAGCCCTATAAATTCTTTGTTCTCTTGGGACTCTGGGCTCTCTTGCATCCAGTAATGGAGGCAGAGAGACCAAGCTAGCTTGAATAAAAGACTCTACGCTTTTGCATCGGACTCGGTGCTCCCTGGTGGTTCTGTGGGGGGTCTTGAAATCTGGGCATAACAAGTACACTGGCAAATATTAAAATTTCCCCCAAAGATTTCAGCTCAGCAATCCGGTCACACAGGCTACGTTCACTCATTTTCACAAAGTGCTTGGCTCCATGCCACAGGGCAGAATGGCTACGTGCACATGGAGAAGGCATGTCCCAGGGACATGCTCTCAAACTACTTTCAGGTCATGAGGAAGAACCACACTCTGAGACTAGACACAAGTAACTTGCCACCACCACAGTGTGGCACTTGAATGCACAAGGGTGGCCACGCAGCTCCTGGCCCACAGCACAGAGCAGAAGGGACGGGAGCATGTCCAGCCAGTGGTGGATGCCCTGGATTGTCTGTTCTCTTTTCTGTTTAACTATGTGAGGAGGGCTATTCCCTATAGCTTTTCATAACATCTGTCCTCATTCTTTTTTTTTTTTTAATATATTTTATTGATTTTTTACAGAGAGGAAGGGAGAGGGATAGAGTTAGAAACATCGATCAGCTGCCTCCTGCACATCCCCTACTGGGGATGTGCCCGCATCCAAGGTACATGCCCTTGGCTAGAATCGAACCTGGGACCATTCAGTCCGCAGGTGGACGCTCTATCCACTGAGCCAAACCAGTTAGGGTGTCCTCATTCTTTAAGTAGGACAATTTTACTCCAGTTAAAATAAAAACTGAATTATGCTTCATAATAAACACCTCATCTTCTCCATGCAGAGTACTGGCTGTGTTTATGTTCCCCATCCAGGTTTTTAAAAACTGAGTGTTGGCTTGGCTGGTGTTCCCAGTGGTTAGAGAGTCAGCCCTGGACCAGAGGGTCGCAGGTTTGATTTCTGGTCAGGGGCACGTACCTGGGTTGCAGGTTTGAACCGCTCCCCGACTCAGGGCGTGTGTGTGAGGCAACCAGTCAATGTGTCTCTCTCACATTGATGTTTCTCTCTCCCTCCTCCCTCCTTTCTACTCTCTCTAAAAATCAATGGAAAAAATATCTTCACTCCTCGGCTGAGGATTTAAAAACAAAAAGAAACAACCACCTGGCAGTGTTAAAGACAAGATGCAGTTTAGTTTCCATTTTTATTAAAGTTGTTTTTTTAAGGAATATATTACACTTAAAGTTCAATACCATAAATAAAGATTAGTTTTTAAATCTTCTATTTTACTTATTTAAAATATAAACATAACAGAAAAAAATTCACCACTCCTTCCCCAACTCTGCCTAAATGTATAAAAAAAACCCACAAAGTCACCCCTCAGGTAAGGTCTTTCTTCAGAATGAGTAGCACAGTCTTTACCGACGTTAGTCCTCCTGGGCTGCAAGGATGCGGCACGATGACTGGAGTCCATGATACATGGGCCTGAGGGGCTGTGACCGAGCCCACCTCCTCCTGCCAGGACTGTGCAAACGCCCTCAGGGACAGGCTCTTCTCTGTCCATTCAGTGTCCAAGGCCATGGACTGTGCGAAGGCTTCAAGCACAAGACGCTGTGGCGAACATGATGTGGAAGCTGGCATGCTCTGAGGCGGCTCAGACCCAGCAGGAAACTAGCAATTCTGGATCAGTATTCATCATGGACTATCAGCGCTGGCAAGATCCTGAGAAAGCACCTAGTCATTTTACAGTGAGTCTTCTAACACTGAAGAGAATACTGATATTAAATTTTAAAGAATACTCTGATATACTTATTTACACTTCTTCCTAAAGTTATTTAAACTTCATTAATTCATGTTTCATCTTCACATAATCATAAACTCTAAGCCAACATATTAGGCTGAAACTAACTTTAAGCACAGTTTATAATATTTTTAGAATGTCTATTTGATCTTAACAAAAATAGGTATCTTTAAGAAATCGGTAAGGGAAAAAGATGTTTTTCAGGAGACTATTAGAGGGGTTTACATGAAGACTTCCTAACTGCTTGCCAGTTTCTTTAAAGCTGTCAGCTCAAATCTACTGACATGGCTTTTGCTTCCTTCCTGTAAATTCTGTTCTTGAAAACCTGAGAAACAAATTCACTTGATACAATTGGGACCTTAATCCTATCAAAATGAACCTAAGTCTGAACGGAAACTGAGGTAGTCGGAGTTTATAAGCACTTGACACTTTCTAAGTCAGAAAGGACTCCTGTCTGCCACCCCCAAATCAGCTCTTCCCCACTCTCCTTCCCTACCCCACTCTCTTTCACCACGGCTGCAGTCTGCTCCACCTTTCTCAGGGAACTGGTTTTGCTAATATGAAGGGTATAACCTGCCACAGAATACTGACACTTACGCCATTTCAAATTCTTCAGTTCAAGGCTGAATTCTAGCCCACTAATTCTGCATTGAAACCTCAGATTTTAAAAGTCTTCGTTTTTTAGAATATTGTCATAATCTGAGTGACTAAAATGTGCCTCTTAAAATTTTTTACAGACTCAATGGCCTTCTAAGTCTTCACTGAGTAAACTATGCAGAATCAGTGATAAGCAACCACTTTCAAGTCTTGAAGAGGAAGGAAGACAACAGCACATTTAGTTACCCTCAGAAACTCAAGATTTGTTGACATTATACTTTATCAAGTTTCACATTTGTGCAGGGAAAACACTGGGCTACTAGATTCCAATCTTAATAAATATATGTAGAAAAAATGTCATCTATAATATTTTCTCCAGAAAGTCATTAGTGCAAATATAATATCAATAAAAATAAAGCAAAAATATCTTTCAAGTATAAAAAGCACCATGCTCGGAAACAATACTATCTAAATGGCATCACTGCACAACAGTCAAAACATAATCAAACCTATCATGGTAAATATATCTCAAATATATTCTTAGTCCATAGTATTTTTGGTGAAATTCTTTATACAACTTTGCAGGATGATCCATAATCACAATCAGAATGTAAGTTTAGATTTTTATAGTTTTCTTTAAAAATATACTCTATACTTTTCTCGGATGTTGCACAATTTAAGATATACATGACACAGGCAGGAAACAGAGCACTGACCTGACACCTTTACTATTAGCTTCTCTTTAGCTGAAGGTGGATATGCTAGAGACCCAGCTTTCACAATGACAAATACCTTCAATTCAAAACTGCACATTTAAATACATATTTAAAATTTATGCATTAAAAAAGGCAACTTTCCTTTGCTGGAGTTGCTGTTTGGCCCAGGTCCAACTAATCAGCTGGAATTACTCCTTAGTAATTATGCTGCTTGCTCACTTAGCACAATTTCTTACACGGAGTGCTCAATAGTTATATGCTGAATTAAAGGGCTAACCAATGATTGAATGTTATGTATGTATGAATGAATGAATGCTTGTCCAAGGGCTGTGTTTATAATGTCACAGGACTTTGTTAGCTTTAGAGAGAAAAATTGGGAATCATTTATCATTAAAGAATTTAATTAGTAAGTGGGGTTGATAAGCTCCAGAGTAGACTTGCTTCTGTGGACCGGAATCTACGTGGTAACAGAAGTGCCAAAAGCAGGAGGTAAAGGATATCACCTCCTTTCAAAGTAAAGGCTATCTTATAACTTCTGAGGATTGAGCCATATGTTGTGCAGTAAAGTGGACCCTATTGGCTGGGCCGTACACCAACCCTACACTTTGCTATTAGTAAACAATTCAGATTATCTTGCTTTGACTTATATTTTCTTCTTGTATATAAAATAATTTTCAGAAGTTCTTCTGAAACAATTCGTAAGCCCACGTGAAGACAATTGCATACCTGTCTATCCCAGAATTTCTTTTTATCTTCATTGTTAAAAAAGGAATAGTTCTATTTTTCGGTTGGATTATAGTTGTCATATCTATTATCTGAAACACATACATTTATATTTTCTTCTGTTTGCTTGTCTTCAATGTTTTTACAGAGCACATTACTTTTCTCTCTCTGCTTCTATCATTTTTCAGGTCATTATTAAATGAATGGAGGATACAACAGGACACTGAGCTACGGAGATCTGTGAGTAACAGATGCAGCTGGAAGAGGGCTACCAACACACCATGATTCCATAGTAAACTATCACACAGCTAGTTTGAAAAGGCAAGCATGGTTAAATCATAACATTTAGCAAAACATAATTTTATAAAAGACTTTTTAGAACAACAAGAACAATGATTTAATTGTACCATGTACAGTCATTAAATTCAAAATAGGAGTAACAATGATGTACAAACCTCAACTCAATTATTTTCTGTAAGTCAAAGGATAATTTATACTTGTGGGTACAGGATCCACAACTTATAATCTGCAGTAATTAGCAGTTCTTTATTATTGCAGTATTGATGAACTTCCCCATCATTTTAGGTTAATGAGAATGCTGAGGTATGTAATCTGAAAATTTCACCAATATCCCATTTTCAAAGGAAAACTTGAGGACGGTTATGCATCCTGAAAAATAGAGTCTTGATGACTTGGAATTCCTTCCCCTTCTCCAAGCCGAGGCTGTTGGGTTGCTGTGAAGCTCTGCTTCAAGGTCTGACTGTGGTCAACACTTTCAAGCCAAAGTCAGGAATGCCACTTCTGCCATCAGCACAGGCTGATACTCAGATTTTGTGCTTTGTTCAGAGGAACATGACACAAAAGAACGCCTTGAGAATTCACATTTCCATTCCTAGTGCCATACACACAGAAGACATCCAGCCAGCAGAGGAAACAGATTGCCTAGCAGAAGCCAGAGGGTGACCACAAGGCTAGAGGAACGGGAACAGAGATCTAGGATTGAAAACAAAAATTGACTTTCTATAGACATTTTTGGAATCTATTATATCATATATTATATCAACTAAATACTGACAGATGAATATAGGTGATTATATTAAAGGTGAACAAGGACCACCTTGGAGAGCAGAATCAAGAATGACTTCCTGCCCTGCCGGTGTGGCTCAGTGCTTGAGCATTGACCGGTTCAATATCCGGTCAGGGCACATGCCCGGGTTGTGGGCTTGGTTCCCAGTAGGGGGTGCACGGGAGGCAGCTGATCAATGATTCTTTCTCATCATTGATGTTTCTGTCTCTCTCTCCCTCTCCCTTCCTCTCTGAAGTCAATCAATATATATATAGTAAAGAATGACTCCCTGCCGGGACCGGTTTGGCTCAGTGGATAGAGCGTCGGCCTGCGGACTGAAGGGTCCCAGGTTCGATTTCGGTCGGGGGCATGTACCTGGGTTGCGGGCATATCCCCAGTGGGAGATGTGCAGGAGGCGGCTGATCGATGTTTCTCTCTCATCGATGTTTCTGGCTCTCTATCTCTCTCCCTTCCTCTCTGTGAAAAATCAATAAAATATATTAAAAAAAAAAAAAAAAAAAAAAAAAAAAAGAATGACTCCCTAAAACCCAGATATGTAAGGTCAATTTTTTTTTGCATTTTTTGAAAAAGAACAAAATATTTATGCAGGAAGAAAAGAAGGTGTACCTACCATATCATGGTTAAAAAACGGCACCCAAGAAGAGAAAGAAGTATCTTTGGCTAGTATCCCAGCATAGTTAAATATGTTACACAGGAAAGTAGATTAATATCTTGGCTATTCTGATATGGGAAGTAGAACTCTCTTCTTTTCTTTCTTGTCCCCCTTTTTTATGGTAATTTGATATAATTTATCATCCCAAATAAGGACATTTTAAGACAAGTTTTGAAATAAATTGCTAATCTCAAGATGGTGCCATGTCAGCAAACTGAAACTTAAATAACTTCCATGTGCTTGACCAGAAAGAGAGTATATCTAGTCAGCCAAATGCCAACCAACAAGCCAACTCTGGGCTCTATACTTATTTCCTTGTTCCTTGATCTTTCAAAATAAGGTAAGATATGCAACTCTGGCCAATCAACTTAAGCCGAGTGTTTCTTCCTTGTTTCCTGCTTGTATCCCTTTTCCTTATTTTGCAGTTCTCTGGACTCTTGAGAGTGGAGACTGCTTGTTTCATGAATTGTGAAATAAAATTTGCTTAGATCAAATAAATGTTCTCTTTGATTTTTTTTTTTTAAACACAAGGGACACTATTAACAATTATACCAGGACAAAAGGCATATGGACTGTCCCAGGCAAGCCAGGGTATATGGTCCCCAATCTCTAAACAACTACCTATCTATCCACATCCAGCCTTCATCTGGAAACAGAAGAAAAATCTATGGGCTTTGGGCACTAGAAGTCCATTTTAATTTAGGCATGAGCTGTTCTCATGGCTAAAACTATTTCCCGAAATAATTCTCAGAAAGGAAAACTTTTTAATTTTGTTGACTGGTTTTCAGAAAGTGTGAGTGAGTGTGTGTGAGTGTGTGGGGGGGGGTGGGGGGGAGGGAGGGAGAGAGAGAGAAGAAAGAGAGAAAGAGAGAGAGAGAGAGAGAGAGAGAGAGAGAGAGAGAGAGAGAGAGAGAGAGAGATTTGTTGTTCTACTTATTTATGCATTATTCATGGTTGTTTCTTATATGTGCCCTGACCAGAGATTGAACCTGCAACCTTAGTGTAACAGGACACCATTCTTAACCAACTGAGCTACCTGGCCAGGGTTGGTAAACATTTTTACAGCAGCCAAGAGACCAGGCCAACTTGACCAGGCTTTATCTTGAGATAAATTGTCCTTTCTAATATATGCTGTCCCCCCAAAATATATACACACACTTTGAATAATTATAAAGTCAATGTTTATTAAAATAAATTTTTTTTCAAAATTGAGTTTTCAGTGATTAAATTATGTATATTTCTGGGACAGACACCCTGTATTCTGACCAATAAAGAACCAATCATGCTTCAAGTCTGACTGCTTAAAAGTGGAAAATAGGGCTAGTCTTCAGCTCTAGAATGAACAGAATCATAACGTCACGGCACTGCAGCCTGTTCTTCTAAGCACCATATAGTGTGGTATAAATATTTTAAAAAATTATTTCACTGCATGTAATGCAGGTAAAACAGGAGGAAACTCCTATTCTTCCCAATGGAATCAGCTGGTAATTGTTAAATCTTACAAAAATCCCACTTTGCCAAGAACAGTCCTTCTCATCAGCATCATCTGCAAACTTGTTAAAAATGAAAACTCTCAGCCTCTGACCTAGATCTTCTGAATCAGAAATTCTGGGGTTGAGGCTTAGCAACCTGTGTTTTAACATGGTTCTGATGCATGCAGAAGCGAGAGACTCTGATCTAGCGCTGCACTGTGGCCTGTTTCCTTTTCTACTGACACTAAAATTTAACAAACTATTAAAACATTAATGACAGCTCTGGAACATTTGTTGTCCTTCAAAAATACTGAACTTTAGCAGAGCCAGTGTGACTCAGTGGTTGAGCATTGACCCATGAACCAAGAGGGCACCAGTTCGATTCCTGGTCAGGGCACATGCCCGGGTTGCAGGCTTTATCCCCAGTAGGGGGCATGTGAAAGGCAGCTGATCAATGTTTTTCTCTCATCAATGTTTCTCTCTCTCTACCCTTCCTCTCTAAAATCAAGAAAAACATATTTTAAAAAAATACTGAACTTTATGTGGCAGTAATCTTTAAAAAGAAAATATTCAAAGAGGGTATTTCAAAATGAGTTAGAGATGATCAGATTTGGGGTTTGACCTGAACCTCATTATTTATTAGTTGTGGCAGTAGACACATTACACTTAACCTCTTACACCGTAGTTTTCTCATGTGTAAAATGATTATTCCTACCTCAGTAGGTTTTGTGATGATTAAATGCAATGATATAGACATAAAGCACTCAGTTAGCATTCAATAAATGGAAACAAAAATAACACCTACAATCTGAAGAGACCAGAAAGAATTTAGAAATAAATATTTTATATTCACTATCTTAGGCAGTATGGAACAACTACCTAATTACACTCTAGCATTTAGAAGTGACAATCAGAAAAAAGGAAAAAAGATGAGTTTTACATTCCAAAAGAAATTACAAATACAAGAAAAAGCTATGTGAAGCTGAGATCAACAATAAAAAAAAAATCAGAAGAATTTGGGGAGAGGAATATATTTTTACACTTCCTCTAGAATATTAGCAGTTAATGTTTTAAAGGCATACTAAAAAAAACCTAAATTATTTTAATTCATAAGACATATTAGGATAATTATTTGTCTAATAAGCTTCATCATAGGTTAATTCTAATTTTTAGTATTTCTCATATAAGTACATTTAAAGCATCAAATCTTATTTTTATAAGTTTGGTGGGTCATAAAGACTATATTTTAAAAAGAAATAAACTATTTATCTAAAAGAAATAGCATATGTAAAGTCTGCCATAGTCCCTGGTACAGAGTTCACTAAGGGCCTAGTGTGTGCTCTATTCACACATTAACAAACATGAGAAATCAGGATATTTTAGAATTTCAACAGTGATACTTACAATGTTTTAAAAGCAGTGCCTAAAGACATCTATTCTTATAATATTTTATACAGTTTTCAAAATTGTGTAATGACTTACAGATTACAATGCTTTTTTGAGTATGCTTCCTCATAGAACTGGTTAACAGGGAAAAAGAAATCACATGATAGCACCACAATTTCAGAAGGGTAACTGATAAAGAGGGAACCAGGATAAGTAGAAGTAGAGTGTAAGGTGCAGGTTGGTGGACATGGAGGGGTTGGGTGGTTTGCAATCTCTACTCCCCACCTCCTTTCCACAGATCCATTTGTCATTGTCATGCTCCAAGGACAGGAACTAATCATTTCATAGCCCTTTGCCCTGGCCTGGCTTTCTCCACATTCCTATACATTCTTTTACTATACTCCTAAGATCTTTACCCCTGAACCAGCTGGAGTAACTCTCTCTTTATGAACTAGCAGCCAATGTAATTTAATAATAACAATAAAAGTAAGTTATCCTACTAACTTACATGAAAGTAAAAGTTAAGAGTATTTAACACTACATATACTATATACCACATCAAAGGGACCAAAGATCTTATATCATTTCAAACAACTCATTGTATCCTCCTATATAATAAAAGGGTAATATGCAAATTGACCCCAACCAGCAGAACAACTGGGAATGACTGGTCACTATGACACACACTGACCACCAGGGGGCAGATGCTCAATGCAGGAGCTGCCCCCTGGTGGTCAGTGTGCTCCCACAGGGGGAGCTCTGCTCAGCCACAAGCCAGGCTGACGGCTGCCAGTACAGCGGTGGTGGCGGGAGCCTCTCCCACCTCCTTAGCAGCGCTAAGGATGTCCAACTGCAGCTTAGGCCTGCTCCCCGCTGGCAAGTGGACATCCCCTAAGGGCTCCCGGGCTGCCAGAGGGATGTCTGACTGCCAGCTTAGGCCCGATCCCCTCCGGGGGAGCGGGACTAAGCCAGCAGGTGGACATCCCCCGAGGAGTCCCAGACTGCGAGAGGGCACAGGCCGGGCTGAGGGACCCCTCCGCCACCCTGAGTGCACAAATTTTTGTGCACTGGGCCTCTAGTTACTATTATAACTGCAGAAAACTCAGATGACTCACTGGAGTACTGTGCAAAAAAGAGTTAACTTAGCAGCCCTGAGATCGCCATCCAGGGTCACATGTAGTACATCAAAGCTGTCAGTGCTGTTCCATGAACAGTGATGTGGGCTGGACTGACTGGAAACATTGCAAAGAAACTAGCTGGGTTAGGGTTAAATCATAATAGTGATGTCAGGAAGGAGTGAAAGGTGGCCTGACAACCAGTAGGAGTAAGGAATCAAGATGCTGAGATAAAGGAACATAGGGGATTGTCATGGCAATGTGGTTTTGGCTAGTGAATGTTGGAACAGTAGTCTGATTTAAGGAATTTTGTAGTATTCATAAAAAAAAAAAAAAGAGTGGTTCAACATATAGAGAGTGTAAACTGAGGACTCAATATTTTGACTCTGGAAATTGTTTTTGATTCCATTGACCTTGTCTGGCACAAAGGGTTCTCTCTGGCACTGAACTGACAGAAGAACTAAAAATTATCGGTTTTACATCATTACAACCTGAAAACATTTCCAAAATACAGGGACAGGCTGGATCCACACTACCACAGAAAGCTCTCACTAACGTGGCAGCGGCACTTAATACGTGTTAGGGTAGCTCCTGTGTCCTTGTGCAGGAGTATAGGTCCTCAACAAAGAATTTAGGGCAACATACGCTGAAGACCATTAAGCTAGATCTGGGAGGCTGCAGTGCTTTCTGAATATGAAGTGCTGGGGGGACAGGCTCCTGTGCTGAAAACAGGTCAGTGGCTGACTGGGATGTAATCTGTGCACTCAAAACTGAGGTGCTGTGAGTGAGAGGGAAATCTATTGCCAGTAACTGAGTTTGGTAAAGGTAACTGACTAAACTGGTTAACATAGGTGGGAGGCAAATTACTAAATTTGGTTTTCTGAGATGGTTATTAAGCTATTTCTAAAGGCAATTTAAAAAGAGGAGCTCCAAAAATGTATTTCAACAATGGAATTGCCTGGCTGGTGTGACTCTGTGTACTGAACGTTGTCCCATGGACCAAGGGGTCACCAGTTAGATTCCCAGTCAGGGCACATGCCTGGGTTGCAGACTCAATCCCCAGTAGGGGGCGTGCAAGAGGCAGCCTATCAATATTTCTCTCTCATTGATGTTTCTATCTCTCTCTCTCCCTCTTCCTTCCTCTCTCTCTAAAATCCATAAAAACATATTAAAACAAAACAAAATAATGGAGTCACTTTTGAAATAACTCTATTGATAGATATTGCTCCTGCCAGGAAAAAAAAAAAATTCAGTGGGGGGAAGGAGATTTTCCAATAAAACTGAAATTAGAAGAGAAGATGCTCAACCTGTTTTAGAGCTTCCTTGAAGGGAATTTTCAACATCTGATAAGAAAAGTCTCTGTCTTTACTCCAACCACAGATACTCACCCAGGGGTAGCGCTCGGGTCAGGTTAGCAGCTGGAGGATCTGTTTCTGGAGGACAGAGTTCACAGAAGTCCCAACATGATGGGCAGAGCAGGTTTCCATCGTGAATCCAGCCGTTCATATGAATACTAACGAAGAGGACCTGCCCGGCTCGACTACACAAATATGAAGTATTCTGGACCCAAACCTTTAGACCTTGTGGAGAACAAGAAACCTTCCAACAGAGAGGAAAAAATCAGATCCATAAGTATACTGGCTTCCTTCATCTGCAGGAAAAGGTTAGAATTTACTAAAAATACTGGCTATAAAATATAATTTGGGATATAAAAATTTCAAATGATTATTTCTTCTTCAAAGTTGTTTTCTAAAAAGACTTCATGTTAATTTCAATTATGCTACTTCACTTTAAAAATTTCTAAAACTTCTTTCCTAGAACTATTTTCAAAGTAAATGCATGTTTCTGAAAATGTTTGTTAGTAGCTAATTTTTACTCTACAGGTAGATGAAATTTTTGGAAAAACCCAAAAGCTGCTCAGAACTGAGTTTGGTAAAGGTAGTTGACTAAACTGGTTAACACTAGGCTAACATAGGTGTTATGCAAAGTACTAAAATTGATTTTCTTAAATGGCTATTAAACTAAAGGCAATTTCAAAAAAGGAGTTCAAAAAATGTATTTCAACAATGGAGTAGTTGTTTTTAAAATAACTATCATCAATTAAGTGTAAATACTCATTTGGAAATTTAAGTTATAAAACGCTTTTGAGAAAACAAACAACATAACCTGTAATTCAATGAGCCACATCTAATAAGTACCACCATAGGTATAGTGTAATGTAGTCATCTTTTAAGTGAAATTAATTTTCATGTTTAGTACTGAAAAGGATACCAAAGAACTTCACAACACAGTGCCTGCTCTCTACCAGCTTTGATGGAGGAGAGAAGGGAGGGATATCATTTTTTTTATCCTAAAGATGTGCATAGGATTTGGGTCAGTGAGGGAGAGACATTGTGACCTGGTGGGTTGTGTCAGAGTCCGAATGGGTGAGTAGGGCAATCACATAGTGGGGTGGGAGAAGGTGAAAGAGGTGTGGACAGATGAAATAGGACAACGTATTGAGGACAATGAAAGCCATATTTCTCACTGTCAGAGAAAGGAATTACAAATATAAAATATAGAAAGGGAGAAAACCAAAATGAACCCTTTGGTGTTAGACTGGAATCAAAGATACTGATGAAAACTCATGGTTATATATTTACACATGTATAAGCAGTATATATAAAAATTAGATAACACATATTTCCCAGCTCTGTTTACCAAGAGGGCCTGGAGAGCAGCTATATTTCAATAGCAATGAACAGTTCACCTAGCAACTAGATCTTCATTTCTAAATACCATACTCTACTGAAGAAACTAGAGCCCCTTAGAGAAAAGGTTGATTCTAGGTGGGGGCAAAGAAAGTAAATATGGACCCAGAATATCTTGGGCCAGAAAGCCAGGAAATATTAAAAGAAAGATGGGGACAGGCTAAAGAACACAGGGACCAACTTAAAGGGGCTCCCTCTGGCCAAAGCTGGAGAAACTTGAATATCAAAATAAATTAAGATAGTAATGGTAATACTCAATATTAAATGGAATCCATGAGTCAAAATGAATATAAATACATAAATAAAATAAGAATCTGATAAGAAATAAGTTATTGACATAGTACCTTCCCCCAATACTTAATTACAAAGGTAATTAATTAAAACAGAAAAAGAATAACTTGTCAGTAGAACATGAGCATCACTTCTGTTATATTGCAGCCCCAAACCCATTACCTAAATTTAATGAAACACCAGACATCTTGTCTAGAACTGGCTTGTAATCTTTAAAAATGCAAGGTTATGAAAATCAAGAAAAGATGAGGAATTCTTCCAGATTGAAGAATAGAGACATGACACCTATGAAACATGTGAGATTAGTACAGATCCTACTGCTACAAGGACATTGTTGGGCCAATTGACAAAACTTGAATGGGGTTGAAGAATTAGATGTATCAATATTAATTTCCGGATTTTTTGGTAGTATTGTAGTTATGTAGAAGATATCCTTGTTCACAAGAAGTACACATTAAAATATTTGGGACTGAATGGGCAATATGTCAGCAATTTATACTTAAAAATTTTTTTGTGCCCTAACCGGTTTGGCTCAGTGGATAGAGCATCGGCCTGGGGACTGAAAGGTCCCAGGTTCGATTCCGGCTAAGGGCATGTACTATACCTTGGTTTCAGGCACAGATCAATGTTTCTGTCTCATCGATGTTTCTAACTCTCTATCCCTCTCCCTTCCTCTCTGTGAAAAATCAATAAAATATGTTTTTTAAAAAAAAATTTTTTTTTTTGTACCATTCTTACAACTTTTGTCAAAATAAGGAAAACAACAAGTTAATCCATATGTAAAATACTTGGAAATCATACACACTTTCCCACATAAATGGTGTTAGTATTAAATTAGCAAAAGTAATTGACAATATTAGGTACAGGGAAGCCAAGCTACATTCAGTCTTTATGGCTGGTATTTCAAATCTGCATAATCCCTTTGTGGTGGTGGTAGTGTTGATAAATCATTAAAATAGCCTGAAAGGGTCTTCTTCCTATTATAGTTGTCATTGTTCTAGCTTTATTCCTTTAACCTAATATTCTCACTTATAGGAATTTATTTCAACAAATAAATTTTTAAAAGGTAAAATATGCAAGTATACTTACAAAATCATTTTTAGATACAAAATATAACAAGGAAGTGACTTCTCAAATTATGATGATGCAGTGTTCTACAGCTATAAAGAATAATAAGTATTATTACTGGAAAAACTTAGAAAGGGTGTTTTGCTCTGCATAAAAACTAAATGAAGGAAGTAAAACAAAATTATGCATTATGGTCAAAACTATGTATGTAATCTATATATATAAAAGCCTAAGCGACCGACACTGGTAGCTATTATGCACACTGACCACCAGGGGGCAGATGCTCAATGCAGGAGCTGCTTCCTGGTGGTCAGTGTGCTCCCATAGCCAACTTCCCACGGCCGGCCAACCTCCCGTGGTCCTTCCCCCCGCCAGCCAGCTTCCATCGGCCCCAGTCACTGGCCAGGCCGAAACACCCCACCTGTGCATGAATTTGTGCACTGAGCCTCTAGTCAATACATAAATCTTTAGTGGGATTTATCAGAAAATAGGTAGTGGATTATAGTTATCAGATTATAGTTAGAAAGTCTTTGTTTTTAATGATCTTTTATAAGGTTTCAAAGATAATTTTATATGTAAACTATCCTATATAATAAAAGCCTAATATGCTAAGTGCCCGGTCATCTGGTCGGCCATTTAACCAATCAAAGCATAATATGCTAATGATATGCTAAGGCCGCGCAACTGCTCACTATGACGTGCACTGACCACCAGGGGGCAGTCGACTGGTCGACCTGTCACTATGACATGCACTGACCACCAGGGGGCAGATGCTCCAACTGGTAGGTTAGCTTGCTGCTGGGGTCTGGCTGATCAGGACTGAGCGAGACAGGCTGGACACGCCTTGGAGCCCTCCTGTGGTCCCTCCCTGGCTGGCCAACTTCCCATGTCCCTCCCTGGCCCAAATTGTGCACCAGTGGTGTCCCTTGGCCTGGCCTGTGCCCTCTCGCAATCTGGGACCCCCCAGGGGATGTCAGAGAGCCGGTTTTGGCCAGACGGTGGACCAACCGGTCGCTATGACGTGCACTCACCACTAGGGGGCAGATGTTCAATGCAGGAGCTGTTCCCTGGTGGTCAGTGTGCTCCCACAGGGGCAGTGCTGCTCAGCAGAAGCCAGGCTCACGGCTGGTGAGCACAGCGGCAGTGGTGGGAGCCTCTCCCACCTCCGTGGGGAGCGGGCCTAAGCCAGCAGTCAGACATCCCCTGAGGGCTCCCAGACTGCAAGAGGGCACAGGCCAGGCTGAGGGACCTACCCCCCCCCACTGAGTGCACGAATGTCGTGCACCGGGCCTCTAGTATCTCAATAAAGCTGTTACTCCAAAATGATAAATTTTATAAGAAACTTAGGAGAACCAAGATGGCGGCATAGGTTAACGCCGGAGTTTGCTGCCTCGAACAACCACTTCAAAAAAAACAACTAACAGACGGAACGGACATCACCCAGAACCACAGGAACGCTGGCTGAGTGGAAGTCCTACAACTAGGAGGAAAGAGAAACGCATACCGCAACACAGAGGAGGCGCAGTGCTGAAGTCAAATACTAAGGTGTGGAGTGCATGCAGAGCGGGCTGGTGGCTGAGGGTGCAGTTGGTGTTTTCAATCGGGAGGGAGTCGCAGACTCTGAGCTTCAGATCCGGGTGAGTCTTTAGGGACCCAGACTCAAACGGGAGAAGCGGGACTGTCTGGCTTCGGTTGGAACTCGAAGGCAGCTTTTTCTCCGAGGTTTGCAGTGGTTGCTGGGACTCAGAGAAGCAGAGCCCCTGGGGACGGGACTGAGAGCAGCCATAACTGCTCGCTCCGGCCCACCCTGTTGATCCCGTGTGACCCGTCCCGCCCAAGCCCTGCGCAGAGGCATTTGCCAGATAGCCTCAGGCAAAGGCTAGATTAGCACCTCCCTAGAGGACAGAAGTTCTCTCACTACAGACACAGCTGATTCTCACAGCCAGTTGGCCTGGTGGTCAAATCCCCACCAGTATTACCTACAACAATATAGGCTTAACTACAACAAGACTGCACATAAAGACCACTAGGGGTTGCACCAAGAAAGCATAAAAAATGCGGAGACAAAGAAACAGGACGCAGATGTCAGAAATGGAAGATATAGAGCTCAAAACCACACTTTTAAGGTCTTTCAATAAGTTTCTAAAAACTGCTGATAAATGTAGTGAGATCCTCAAGAAATCTAATGAGACCCTCGATGTTGTGATAAAGAACCAACTAGAAATTAAGCATACACTGACTGAAATAAAGAATATTATACAGACACCCAAAAGCAGACCAGAGGAGCGCAAGAATCAAGTCAAAGAATTGAAATGTGAAGAAGCAAAAAACACCCAACCGGAAAAGCAAAATGAAAAAAGAATCCGAAAATACGAAGATAGTGTAAGGAGCCTCTGGGACAGCTTCAAGCATACCAACATCAGAATTATAGGGGTGCCAGAAGAAGAGAGAGAGCAAGATATTGAAAACCTATTTGAAGAAATAATGACA